AATAAAATGAGATCGAATCGCGTCGGCAAGCACAATGAATCGTCACCACAGCAATGAGCAATAGGTTGGTTTGAATGTCGTAATGTAATGGAAAGTGATTTACCCTATGCCCAGCTATTTGTAAGCATGAATAAGCATCAAGCGTAGTATCTTCAACGCACACTTTAAGCAAGGTTTGTAGCAATTTTAAGAATTCCCTACGCACATGTTGCCAATTATCATTCATGTTTTATGATCTCCTTGCCAAGTGTCTGCGCTGTGATCTACTCGGATAGGCCAAAACCTCTGGTTCCGTGGGAGAGACTCAACAGGCTACGCATTCTTGGAAAGTACTTTGACTTAAAAATAACTGTAAGTCTGCCCATGATGTACAGTTGGCGGTCTAGACTCTAGAAGGACATAAATTAGCTGCTCACCGAGCCGTGTTCTTCACTCGATTTCCCCACATCGAGGATGCGTTAACGCAACATGAGCCAGCTATATTGCAATGGAGACGATACACTACCAGGTGCGTTGAAAACTTCAAGAACAAATTATTTGTTGTTAGCATCGTGAAGGCTGTGATAATATACGCCTACACTGGATCCATCACAATTTCAATGAATAACGTCGGCCAACTCTTTCTCTTGGCTACTAATCTCGGTTGTTCAAGGCTCGTTTCGTGGTGCATTGATTTCCTTGAATCCAGGTTAGTCGTAAGGAATTGATTACGATTTGTTGGTATTTTTCGTTGTAAACGTTGGAAATGCCTTCCAGACTCCAACTGAATAATGTGGAGCTATTCTGGAAGATTGCAAATGTAACCACAAATGAAGACCTCGCAGACGTCTGCGTGGCGGTGATTGCTGACCACTTTGCAACATTGGCCCGTCGCACAAAGTTTATTCGCGCATGTGAGCCAGAATATCTAGCAACCATTCTTCGAGACGAACGGCTCGACGATGTGCCGGAAAAGCTAAAATTGGACCTCCTTTTGGCATGGCTAGTCACAGGCTCCCAAAAGAAGAACCCCGCCTTACAAGCCAGCTTCTTCGAAAACCTCATCTCAATTATTGACCTAAAGCAAATACCGAAGACTTTCATGGAAGGCCTTCTAAAGAATAATACGGCCAAGTTGTCGGAGGAGTGCAGGTGAGCTTACTGTGATTATTTATTATGCGTTTGGCCTAAGTGATTCAAAATTTACTTAACAACCTAGAAATCAGCTATCGAACGCCTGGGACACAGCGATGAGGCCGATCTCTCCTGTTGATTCAACTACAAGCAGGTATCTTTTGCAGACATTTTGGATTTAAATGACATGTCACTTACTAATCTTAGTCAGTTAGTCACTTTTTTCCCAAAAAAACTGTTTTTTTCTAGGCTTGTACAGATTTACGTGGCTCCGCTAGCCTAAAAACCTTCTTTTTCCAATATAGTCACCTAGAAATTGGCAGTTTTGCAAGCGTCAGGATTGATGACAATCGAAATCTTGTCGTAACGATGTTTTCAGGACTAAATCCATACAGAAAAATTAACTTCAGCAATAATTTGCTGTATTTATCCAAATATGTCGCTTTCGATGGTGAGTTAACTTTGGGGTTGAATTTGATGCAATAAAACTGCTGTTCCCTTCGCACATTTTACGTACTATTTCCATTGTAGGTAGCATTTATTTTATTGGTGGCCGGAGGAAGCAGAACACGACGGTTAGCAGTGTTGTCAGAGTCGACCTCACGAATAATCACGCCTCTGAGGTGCACGACATGCGGACTCCACGATTCGGTCACTGTGTTGCTGCAAATGACCAACGAATTCTCGTCTTTGGTGGGATTGGCAAGAAGGACAAGTGCTTGTCATCGTGTGAAAAATACAATCCACTTAAAAACAAGCAAGTGTCTCGTGTTATTGCAAATATTTTCGTCTGAGAATTATCTCTAGCCATTCTAATCCACATGCGAGAGGGTTAATGCGAATAATTAGCAATTTTACACGGCTTTTAGGTGGTCTTCGCTGCCAGACATGCCCGAGGCAAAAGCAAAATGTGCAGCCGTCTGTATCTCGAGCGTTGGTGTCATCGTAGTTGGTGGCGGGAAAGTGAAAAAAGCCTGCTACCGTAACGCCTATCAACAAACAGCCCACTTGCTTATATTTAGCCCAGAGAAACATGGAAAGCGGTATTGGCTTCGATTAGCGCCAATGTTGACGGGTCGATGTGAACCCGCAGTGGCCTTCTTCAACAGCCGCGTAATCGTCGCCGGGGGCAACAGAGGCGATCAAATCAACGTCGAGAGCCTTTGTCTGCGCCTTGACGACGGCGTACGTTGTCAGTGGACTCAACTTCGTGGATTGAAAACAGGCAACAAGCCGAACCGTTCTCTTGCGGTTTTTGATGACAGACTTCTCCTTGCAGGTGGGCAGTCGCTATTCACGAATTATCTTTCCTTCTCTAAACCTTTTTACAAACTAATTTGCCGATTGTGAACGTATTAAAGGAAGCTGTGCTTATTTTCTAACTTCAAATAGCCTGATTAACATAAATTTTCGCTAAAATTTTCACAGTCTTTGTGGCAATAAATTTCTGACTTCAATTTGTAAATGGAATTGAAATTGCACGAAAGAGTTTAAATGCCAATTTTAGATGGAAATGATCGATTACTCGAGCTTTTGCCATCCAACCAAACAGGTGTAAGTCATCATTGTGTCTATGAAATTGTTTCTGACACATTTGCTTTAAAATTTTCTTGATCGCTATTTAAATTTCAGAATTGTCCACTTAAGGACTTCGTTTGGAAACCACTGGGTAAAATTGAAAAATATTCCACAATTCTGACGCTACAATGACACTCAAAACCACATTTTATTCTCTTGTTTTGTGCAAAATAATTGAGTTCATTTTTTGTTCGCTTTACAACCCGTTTCACTACCAGGAACTTAAATTAAGTAGAGCGATAATTTACTGAGGGTGCATTGAAGCTTCAAGGCACGGAATATAATTCTAAATAGACGAATAAAATTTGACTGTTCAGTGTAAAGTGATCTTACTAGCAAACCCCTTAATTAAATGAAATTAAAGCAGCATTTCGAGAGCAGTCAAGATTAAAAGCGTAATGTTCACCAAAGCAACTGCATTTAATGCTCATCAATTAACAAACTTGTCTACGCATGTTGTATTAGGTAACCCCTGCTCGCAGGCGATTAACCGACATGAGAAATAACGAGTTATATGAGCATTCTATGCTTCGAAAATAACAAAGACATTTTATCATGTCATCGTTCTGGATAATGTTTATAGTCAAATGTTTACATACAATTTTTGATTTCTTGACAGAAACTTTAGTTTCTCAGCTAAGATCACATCCAGTTTTATTAATGGCAGTTTTCAAAACGGTGTTATCATCCACAGCAAAGGTAGGAAACAGGACACGTACTGTTGCGTGACTTCAGTCTCAGAAACAATTCGTTGTGGATCCTCTGCTGCTTTGATTGGGTCTCAATGGAGTTGTCGACCGAATTTAAACACAAATACGGTAATCGATTTGCAGCAAAACTCAAAACGGCAAAATGACCTCTGGTAATCAGTCCACTTTCGTTTGGCCACGTTTCGTGACCCTCGACCTTTGTACAAAATCCTCTACATTAAACAGTAAAGGTCTTCGTAAATAACGACATCTATTAAGTTGGTCAAAATATGGACACTTCATGTTCGTGCGTGCCATCGTCGGTGATATGCGTTGTTTGCTGCTAAGAAATCTCTATCTTTTATTCTAATCCCTTCACGGCGCCGTTGGTCGGCGTCAAGGAACGACAATTACACGAGGTCCTGAAGTGCGGACTGAAAGTGTGAGAGCTGCTTGGTCGTCGAGGTGAAAACAGAAAGAAAAACTATCTTAACTCTAACAAAGGCCTAATTTGTGTACTAAACACAATGTAGAGACTTTGTTGGTAACACACTACAACTCTATACTTTTATTCGATGCTGCGAAAACTAATTCTGGGAGAATTCTGTACCATCGTCCCCTGAAGGCTGTTTAATCTAGCAGCAGAATACACACGAAACGTCTGAATTGTGCGAAGAGTGAGAACAGTCACATAATAAGACATACAAATTTGTTTACCTGTTCTCGTGTGCAAGTGAGTGATGGTGAGCAAATTTATTTTCTGTAAAATGGGGGACAAGGAACGCATTCCTGGAAATATTGTCCACCGTCTTCTGTGACATTGTGCTATCTCTCAAGTAAAAGATGAATGCCGTCAGTAGAGAAATTTGAATTGTTAAGTTGTCAACAAGTGCATTACCCTCCCTCTTCCCCCTAACGGTGCTAGCAGATTCAAACCACGACCATACAACCCCAAACTTTGAGTCCATTGTCACTCCCGTAAGTCGGCTATCTCTGGAAACTGCACCCAGGTATTCGGGCTCGGTGGAATAATACAAATCTATCTGCTTGGAGAAGTTGTCAAAATTGGCTGCGATCACCGGCGCACAAATGTCTACAAGGTCGAAGTTCATGGTTGATTTGGCAAGTGACCAGAACTCCTCAAAGTTGAATTTGGAAAGCCTTAAATAAATACAGGAAGCGGCAACAGGAAATAGCTAAGATGAATATCATGAGGTGCATTATGTGCAAAGATTTGCAGAAAATCTTAAACTGACCAACATGGGTTTGAGGAATTCAATGCACCCCGCAGTAAGTGTAGGGCAACCGACGTTTGTTGTCATCAGGAACAAACGGGCAACATTGTCCATGGATATTTCAATGCTCCCAGTGTAGGCGTAGGTTACCACATCCTCCACGGTGCTACAACAGTCAATATGTTATCCATTCAAATGTTCGATCTTGCTCCTTACTGAACGTTCGCCATTGCAGAAGCTTTCCTTTCCTTACCCCTACAACCTCTTTCATTTTGGGGAACCATGCAGCCAATAAAACAGTGTGCGGACACCTCATAATCTCCTTCTGTCGCCGATGTTGGTTACGCTAAGGTTTGTAAATGTGCTACACTTTTCAAGTCATGATGGCGAAGTCTGTAGAAAGGTGCACAAGGCATGAGTCTACTTGGCTGCTGGGTGTAGGCTAATTCATCCATTAGTTCCATAACACCACCAATTGTAATTTCAAACATGAGCTTGCATGAAAAGCTACTGACACCGTTGATGCCACAATCGAGGTTGAACACGACGCACGATGGCTATCAACCACTGACGGTGAGACGTACGCCCACGTGTGCATGATAGCGTTCAATGGTTTGATGCATCAACGCCACAGTCTAGTGGCATTAGGTGTGTGTGCCTATCTATTGGATGCCATTGATTTGGCGCTAATGTGAGTCGACTGGACGGCTAACTGGAACCCTGATTTCACGAGAGACCGTGCTTTTGCGAAAACTCCAGCAATCCGGTAATCCAAAATTGTTTTTTTTTCAAAACTTCCATTCAATCCCTTCGTAAGGCCTGGTGAACATTCCTAATCGGTGAGCTCAAGAATAGGGCGCATGTAATAAAAGGATGGGATTTGAGAATAGCAGATAAGCTATCAGTTGTTTGGGTACTTAAATGACGACGTACATTTTGCATCAAGACCCAGAAATAGTTAAAAAGACAGTCACACTTACACTGAGAGACACGGAATCCCACAACATGACAGACAAATTTTAAAAGTAACTTGAGCAAACTTTTTCCCTCTAAAACCAAGTTATTCTCTTTTAGAACTTGCATCGTATTTTTTAATAAGCCAGGGATTAGCAAAAACGTCACAAAGACTTTCAAGAACTCGCAAATCAACCATGAAATAATGCATTTGCTTTATCTGAATGACGAGCAAACGGTTTCTTTTATATCTAAAAAGATGGATATAGAATACACTGTCAACCTATCAGTGACAAGTTGTAACTTCTAAGGACAGGTGTTTATTTCCATGTTTGTAAGATGACGACTTCTAGAAGACCTTGTCACCTCCAACTGTTGCATAATTACAGTATGATGTCGCAAGTAAAGGTCTCTGACCTGATCGACACGGTGTCAAGTGGAATATAAGTTGAATAAGTGCTCAAAAGGCCTCCATGTGGCTAGACTAGACCTCTGCGTCCAAGTCAAAACAGTCCGTTGAAGTGAACCTAGCATTTCAAGGAGGTGAACAGGACTGGCCACTGGCCCTTATTTAATGCTGGATAAAATTTATTGCATCCCATTTCGCGCAAACACTGTTAATAGCCAGCGTTTTTAGTAGAAAAATACGAACAACTGTACAATATTGTAACAATATATGGTAAAACCCTACTGCCATGGTTAAATTGGCAAGGAAAACCGATTTTTGTACCCCAATTAAAACCATTTACTAGGCAATGAGGCAGGCGAGTCATACTGTCGCTTGACCCAGAAGATTCTCTTTTACTTGGGATGGGAAGTTCTCCCACAAGCAGCTTATTCACCAGTCTTGGCCCCATCCCACTTCCATCTCCTCCGGCCAATGCAACAACACGTCTTAGTAGATAAACAGTTCAAGACGCTGTATAGTGCGCGTAAATGCGTAAATGATGTTTTTGTCTCGAAGTCTGCAAGTTTATTTCGCGATGGCATTCGGACTTTGGAGATGGCGCAAGGTCATAGAAGACGGTGGATAATGTTTCCAAGATTAAGTCCATTAGTCCCTTTTATTTTACGTTAAACAGATTTCTTGAAAATAGATTGTTAAAGATGCTGAAGCACGTAAGTCCACAAGTGTACTCACTGAATGAAGACGACAATCACTATCGTAAAGACAGTGAGCTTTTGTGAAAGAGATGTACACTTCTGTGCTATATTTGTGTGCTAAAATCTGCATTTCGGCATTTGTAAAACGTATTCCACTCTGTAAGTATCATAATCTAGACTGATATTCATTTGTCTAAGTATCAAACGAGAAAGAATGTCAGGTACTTGAAAGTC